CTGCCAAAACCCACTCAGTGTTTTTCCTGTAATCCTACAGATCCCACCGTGTTTGCTACCGAATGGCACCTGATGTGAGTGCATTTGATCCTAACCATGGGTATAAATGAATAGCTACACTAACTAGTTTATAATATGTAGTTGCCAAACCTCTTGTTAATTTATGTGGTAGGGGGGAAATATTTTTGAATTTGTTTTTAGTAGCAATTGTGAATGGAACTTGTGCTGCCTGGATTTATGCATCACCACTGATGACCTACTGTCAATCTACATAAACAATCTTAGGAAATTAACTCTAAACACTAACACTAAATTAGCAATGCTATCAGAACTTTGCATCACTCTCTCCTCTGGTTATTCAGGTACTTGGTTTTCTTGGTTTCTTGTGCCCATTTCATCTAGAAACACTTTTTGATTTTATTTGTAAAAAATAAAAAAAAAATAAAAAAAATCATATTTTGGTTTAGCTTGGATTGAGCACTGTGTGTATTTTTTTTTTTAAAAGAGCGGGTGCATGCTGCTTTCCACACACTCGATGTATCGTTCATGACAAAAGTCAAATGACCTGACTTGGATAAACTATGATCTACTAACACAGTGTTCCCATGGAGCTGCAGTACAACCCTGTCCAGAATTAGACTGGACTACAGTTGAAAGCAGCCGCAGGTCACATGAAATACAGGAGAGTACGTCAACGTGGTCAAATATCACTGGCAGCCTATTTGTGCTGTACCAAGGTGTTCAAATGTCACTAACCCTGTAAATCTCACAGCCCAGTATGTTTGTGTGTGTGCTTGTGTGTGTGGTCCTTTACTAACGTATTACCTTGTATAAAAATAATTACCACTAATCCTAGAGGACAGACTGAAAGTGCAGTGGCACAACACCAGTTTGACTGCAGATATGAATGTCAACTATAATAAATCTGAACACACTACAATTTTAAAGAGGACTCAACTTTAAACTGGAAAAAACCACATGATTATTTCCTAACATTTTGCTGGGTAATCTGTTGTCCCATATTTTAATTGCACCACTTAAATAAAACAGACAGTTGCACCACTTAAATAAAACAGACAGTTGTCTACTCTGTTATAAAAACATTATATTACAAAACTTGCCAGAAAATATTGCTCTTTTGGTCAACTTACTGTGGCGTGGATTCAGTCCAGCATCTAGAATCTATTGGCAAATGCTGCCAACCAGTACAATACAAACTGTCAGACACAACAGTATTGCTGGTAGGGTTACAACAGCTACCACTAAGAGGTACAGTGATTTCAATGCTTTCTGGTTTCACAAGATATAGTCATGTGTTGGTTTTGTCAATCAAGTCATAAGAAAGACATGGTTTCTGAGTGAAGTTGACCATTTGACCTCAGAGGAACTGATCGAAAATCAGTTCCACTGGATACAACTGTAAGCCGCCGGAGTAACAGATATATGTTTGTATAACAATACAAGACGACAATGTGTAACTAGAATATAATCTTACAACTGGCCGACAAGTTGTATAAGTCATTAATGTTATTCTTTTTGTATTTTCAGAGCTCCTGTTGTGAAATATAAGACAGATGGGAGAGCTGGAAACAATCAAGTAAGGAGGCACGGACATGACAGGACACGTGGCTGTATCAGATATGTAAACATGCAAAGTCACATGCCAGCAACGGCCCTCTCATGAGCCTGAACAAGAACCAAGCTCTGCTCCAAACATTACAGCACAATGGATGTTATCAAATGCCGTGATTTGATCAGAGTCAGGAAGCAGACTTGGCTCATTTGGATTCTCTCGTGTTTGTCCACTTACATAACTTTGCCTCCGTCTCTCTCATGTTCTCTGTCCTCCGTCTCCTATCTGTCAGCCTGTTTGTTCTTGATCTCTTTCCCTCTCTCTCCTCGTCACCAAGCAGCCCATAATTTCACAGTTGCTCAGCTCTTTCACTTCATTGCTGCTGGCTGGTAACCACGGAGAATTAACCTCACGCCTAGGAAATGCCCCATGGCAGTGAGCTGCTCTATTCAGCTCTTTATGTTCATTCATCCTCTAGACTTAGTGAAATTACACACACATACACACAAACTCTCTCTTGGTGAGGAAGTATTCAACTAGAGAGTTCAGCAGGGAGACATGACAGACAGAGAAGGAAATACAGAGACAAGAAAGAACTTCAAATGTTACAGATTACACATCTAACTTAGAGTGAGGAGTTAAGTTTGTCATAGTAATCCTGTACACCAGCAGATGGCAGCAGTGACCTAACCTCCTCCTCTGTCCTGCCCTTGAATGACTTCAGTGTTTAAGACACATCTCATCCCCACAGCATGTCATTTCACCATTTGGTTTGTGAAAATGTTCCGTTGTTGGTTGTGGCACTAACATGTTACCTGACTGATGAGACTTGAGGCATTGAAACTAAAACACTTCAGAGATAAAAACATTGTCATAGAGTACCAGTTAAAAACAAAGATCAGAGACCAACAACATTAACATCTGAACCAGCAATGCGTGTGAACCTGACATCTAAACGCAGTTTCAGCACTAGAGAAAGAGAAAAGTGAACGCAATGTTAATCTTCTCCCAGGTGCCTAGTTTGTGGTAGATCACAATGCATTGCTCAAAATTATAGTTTAATATTACACAGCCTAGACCAATAACATCTTACCGTATAATTGGACACAACAAAACAGTAAACAAGCTCATAAAGCTTCAGGACGTCCTGAAGAACTTCACAGTTTACACAAAACTGGAACAAATAAGCTTCAAATAAGCTTTTCAGGCCTACTGTAACTGACTACACTGTACTGCTGTATCCAGTGATCCTTTGTCCACCACCATACCTAAGCACAATACATCAGGAAGTAACCCCCTAGGGTGTAACCTGCCTCTTGCCCAGTGTATACATTAGTATTACCAACCTGGACTGAATAGATGGATAGCTTAGCAGTAGAGCAAAGTTTCAGAGTGTTCAAGGTGAAAATCTTCCATCAGAAGCTCCAGATTTCTTAATGCCTTGCTTCATGGCTGTTATGGGGTAAAGGATGAAGGGACCAAAGTCATGTTCATAATAATACAAGAAACTGAGATCATGGTCAAGGGTGGGAGGATGTGTGCTACAGCAAACTACAGGAAGGGCCTTGTCCTGTTGTTTGTGTGTGTGTGTGTAAGAAAATGCCGCAGTCTCAATCACTGCTGAACCAACTCTTTAGTCTGGTGCTGTGCCAGTGCTCAGTCACCCTCACAGCCTTGTTGAAGTGGCTTGTGGCTTTTCAGGCAGTATTCAGCACCCATTCTCTTTCTCTGGGCCCACTGCTCACTACCCCTCAGGATCCCAAGCTCCTTATCACATAGTGGCTTAGCACTGCTGCATTTAACATTTGTCTTTCGAAGTCTGATCACAAGAGACACAAGACGGTGTGCTGGCTCATCACTTAGTGTAATGGCCATGCAAATTAATATCATAAATTCTGTCTGTTGTTTCCAGGTTGGGACAACCTAGACTGCTACATGATTAGCAATGCGAGAAAAAAAATAATAAATCTGAATCAATATCCATTAATATTTTATGTGTTTTCACTTCAGTTGTTAAAAGCGTCTGGCAGACACTTGGTCCAGACGGGCTCATTCAGACTGTAAAGAGAAAGGAGATGGGCCACAGCACAGTTTCTGACCACTGGAGACAAGACATCAGTGTCCCTCTGCTGCCTCGGAGAGAAGGATGAGTTGTGAGAGAGAAAAAGAGACTGATAGATGAGTGGAAGAGCTGACAGATAGAGTCAGTCCACTGGGAGCTCATGCTGGCTCCAGCATCGAGCAGAGGTCCCCTGGAGCTGCTTTAATGACAGGATGTGACATTAGAAAAGGGTCACAAGAGAGGGACAGTTTCTCACAGCTCCACATGCCTCACCATCACACACATCTTTCTCAGCCTACAATGATCCTCTCAGCTTATTCAAAAACCACTGCAGGCTGTTATTATTTTTGTATTTAATTTTGATGTAGAACTTCTTTGATATATAGCTCTATTTTGTTCACTCAGACAATGAAGCCAGATGAGCATTTAACAGCAGAATGACAGTTGAATGATGTATTTATGCATCTAGTGCTGATTCAACACTGCTAATGGATTCCAGTGAGTTCTGTCCAGCTATGGTTACAACGTATGCACACAACATTACCAGTAATGGTCTCTGCATCTCTGTAGGCGGCTGTGAACTCCTGGAGTGCAGCTGGCAGACTTGCTTCACTGACATACTCCTCCTCTTCCTCCTCTTCGCTGAGAAACAGGAGCCCTGGGTTGTGGAGCCGAGATGCGTGTTCGGAAGGTGGTTTAGGGGTCGGGGTGGAGGAGCAGGTGTGGGGAGGTGAAGTCTTCGGGTCCAGCTTGGCGCTGAGCGGTTACCGATTTAAAACACGACCAGCCATGGACAAAACTTGGACTTGCCAATACAGGAACGGGGACAAAACCAAATTAGACTTGTCTTGAGCACAATGTTGGACTGGAGAGGCCCAAACTGGTCAGGATGTCTCGAGCACAGGGCAAGTGGGAGTAGCAGAACCACGACCAGAACAATAGACTTCACTCCATACCTGAGAGAGAAAGGGGAAAGGCAACAAAAGACAGGAGAAGACTGAATTTGCATTTGTTTTTTAAATTCACCAAGTTATATGCAAAAAGATGCAAAATATAGCAAGATTCCCAACATGTAGAGCATAAAAATAAAAGCACACTTTATGATAAGCTTGGGTTTAAACCCTTTCATTCTTTTATCATGTGCAAACAATGTTGCTATGTCTAATAAAAGAACCGAAACCATGAGTAAACTGCAGATCATTTTCTTGATTAATAGAATAATTATTAGCCTATTAAAACAATTGTGAATTCACGCCTGCTGCAATGTCCTAGAGTCCATGGTTGAGATCTACTGTCAACCGCATAAAAGGGAGTGAACAAAATATTAGTTATTAATGCAATCCAGTGCCACACCACCGCTAACTACTGCCTCAAAATTGACCAGACAATCTAATCATCGCCTCTCTAACACGCTGACAAACAAAAATTTAACATAGCGGCTTCACACAGATGATTTATTGCATGGCTGTGTCAGGATCCCCTCCTAAACGCTTATCTTGTGTATTTTTGAATCCGATGGAATACACAGGGAGGATGCAATAACAAGCAAGTGAATATAGTCACCTAAAGCGCTAGGGCTAAATGAAGCACATGAATCAAGAGCAGTGAAAAGTCATAAAGATAGAAAGAAAAAAAAATACTACTATAATTGAGTTTGGAGCTACACTGCACTACTACTACACTCTAACTATATATAAGTGAGACTCAGCCATCAATGAAAAGAACAATCAGTAAGCAAATTTGCCCCAGACAAGCAGCTTGATACAGTATGACAGTACACCTCGACTCACTCTCTAACATCATTAGGAACACAGCTGTGGTTTTGTTGCTCCACACCTTCCGTTTCTCTACAACTTTCTATCTTTCTGTTTCTCCTGTATTCATCCACATCTCATCTCTCTATTTCTCACCATCTTTCACTATTAACCCAAAGAAGACTGAGTCAAGCCCAGCTCAGGGTTTTGGTATTGCAGCTTGACCTCTTTAAGACCTTTAGATTATAAGACCGTGTCATCTCTCTTCAACTGTAGATAAACACATACACATCAGGCACCTAAAACAGGCCAATACCCTATATCCAAATGTATCTTCAAACCCTGTAGTCTATTTTGAATGGGTTTCCAGGGCTATAGGGACATGAAACATGACTGATGCATTAAGACCAATCCACTCAAGTGAGGTTCAGCCGATAATTCAAACTCAAGTGGTCTCTTATATATTCACATCATCACACAACAAATGATGCAGTGTTTCCCATTAATTAACGAGACTATGTTCGTTTTTCAAAATAAGGTTAACGTATACAGTATGGAAAATAAGATGAATTGGTTTATATTTTCAGGAAGTACAAAACATGTTACATGTGTCCATTAAAATGTTATGGAAATTACTTACAAATTATTCTTTGATTTAGGGTTGCTGGAAAAACATTAAATAAATCAGTTTACTTTTTTGCTGTCACCATTTATATCTACACAGTGTGTTTATTATCAAATTGTTTACTAGGCCACAAAATTGTTAACAAGAGTGCAAAGTTCTTCACAGATGTAGCCTCTTTATTTTGCTTTTAAAGTGCACCAAATTAATGTACTTAACTTTAAAATGCACAAATTTTTCTTCCGAGGGGGCATGGCCCGGCCCGGATCCACCCAGACGGTTGATGTCCACCCACCATAGCCTCTAGTGGGAAACACTGAATGATGAATGAATACAGACATTTGTTATCCTGACATTATCACACATCCACAAATATGCAGTGATATGCACACACGTGCCATGTGCAAACACAACAACAAATGTTATACCTCGTCATGTAGAGAAACTCAAGCGCAACCAGATCACATCACCACAGCAGCATTTCAACACACATGCACGTGACTTTTAATATGTGTGATGCTTGATGTACTGTGGCAGATGTGACAGCACCTAAACTCACAAAGGTACAGAGGTGTGCCTGTGTATGTTCTCCCTTTTTTCTGGCATGCAAAGTCGGTGGACAATCAGCGATACACTAAAAGTGTAAAGTATGAACTGATAGATTTGGAAACACTATGATTTTACTATATCAAAGATAATATGTTTTTGGGATAGGATCAGTCCTTGTAGATCTGCTAGTTACATACCTTCAGTTTCTCTACTTTATGTATCCTCTCTAGTACTTTCTGTCTTCCTCTCTCTTTCTCCTGTATTTATCTACACTCATCTCTCTATTTCTCACCATCTTTCTTTTTCCACCCCAGCCTCCTTTCAGACATATTGAGTCAGACACTTGTGGAAAATTATTGAGAATTGAGGTCACGCAGTTTCTATTATTTAGCATGTCCAAATGCCCAAACACTGTTGCTAATGAAAGCAAACCATACAGTCACTGTAGAACACATGACAGGCTGCAATGATGTTTCCTCTTTAGGTCTGATTCTTTCTGAGGACTGCAACAAGATTCCTAAGGTGGGGACCAGGCTGGGAAAGTTGGAAACAAGATTATAAGCGATTTGACAATCTAATTTTACTGCAAAGAAAACTGTTTTCCTTTCACCCAAACCCAATTTTTTTTTTTAAAGTTTTAATTGCAGTAATTCTAACCAAGCAGTAGGCCTATTGTAAGTTAAAGTTTGCAGTAAACAGTACCACATTCAACATACCTGGATCTATTATGTTATGGCCACAACGTTCTCACCCTGTGCTATCCCTCAGCAGGTTTCCCAATGAAAGGGTTGTGTTGAGTTTCAAGGAAGTGGAAGATTTCAAAGGGCTGATGGAGCCGGTGCTCAGTAACATAATAGTGACTGCACTTTCTCTCGTGGGCACAAAGGTGTGGTTTTCTGCCTTCTTTCAATTTCTTTTCTTGACATTACAACTTAATGTCGGTCCAGTCCAAGCAATTTGTCCACCCCTTCAATTGGTGCTTTGTGCGAAAAGGCACATGTTGGCTTCCTGACTAACGTAACTTATTTCTGAACTGGGACAGGTCATGGGAATATATACATCCAAACACGGACTACAGTTAGCTGGTGGTGTAATGAATAGGAATAGCCACTTGAAATCAGCTGAGCAGGGTTCGAGACACTGTTCGAGACATCCTCTCTCTGCTGATATTGAATCCATTCTACCTCCAAGGCAAGTGCAAGAATAAGACATCATGACTGATTCTAATGGAAAATTCAAATGAATGCCTTTTGGTGAATCGTAAGGGTACACTACGCTTTTATCTGTATTTTTAGAAAAAAGTAATTCATGCAAAAATAATTGTTAGGTTAAATAAAAAAAGAAGATCATCACTACTTACAGTCCCAATTGTTCTTAATGGCACCCCCAAAATACAGTAGGCTATATCCATTCATGTATGTGCAATGAGTGTCTAGTAGAAGACTGTTTAAACACAGATGGATCCCTCCCACAGTTGATTTCTCAATAGTTAGTGTTTATCAGTTACTCCTGACTGTAATAAAATGGACATTACAACACAGACCACAAATATTCATTCTCAGCTACTTAAGGCAACCAGAGATGCACCAGCAAAAAATTAAAACTCTTTCCGCCCAAAGCTAACCTCAACCCAAAGAAGACTGAGTCAAGCCCAGCTCAGTGTTTCAGTCTGACCTCCTTTAGACCTTTAGATCATAAGACCCATGTCATATCTCTTAAACTGTAGATTCACACAAACAAAACACATCAGGCACTTAAAACAGGCCAATATCCTGTGCCCAATATTGAATTATATATTCATATCATCACGCAACAATGTCATGACATTGTCACACATCCCCAACTTGCAGTGATATGCACACAGAAAACACAACAATACACAACAAATGCTAAACTTCGCCATGCGGAGAAACCGGATCACATCACCACAGCGGCAGCATTGTCTATACGTGAGTGTAAGGGTATGCTTGATGCACTGTGACTTATATGACAGCAGCTAAACTCACAAAGGTGTTTGCATGTGTGTGTGTGTTCTCTTTTCTGACATGCAAATCCTCTACTCTGACAATCAAGTGATACACTAATTTAATAACAAAAACAATAGAATTAATGTAATAAATATAAATTAACTAACTAACTAAAAAGAGTGTAAAGTAAGAGCTGATAGATTTGAAAATTTGACACTATGATTTTACCATATCAAATATAACATGTCGGACTAGGATCTGTCCTTGTAGAGCTGCTCAGTGCCAGTTACACAATTTAGTGTTACAGTGTTACCACATATAGGCCTATTCCTTCATGGTTCATGGTTCTGGTTCATCTCCAGTTCATTGTTCCTCACGGAGTGTACAAAATCAAATTCTTACTTCAAAGATCAAACATACAAAAACTTCAATTCCTGAACTCACCTTGCCTATATTTGGGACAGGCATCTATATGGGAGAGGCCTTTTATTCCTTTCTTAAAACTCTTGCGCAGCAAAGATGGAAAGTAGACTACTATCAATTTTTTTATTTCAACCAGTATGAATGTTTCTGTTAATCTTACGACGTGTAACATGTACATATTGACAAACGTTTAAACATTTATATTTGTATGTGTGATCTAGGCAGCTTAGAACTAGCTCAAACGGGCGACCTGGTGGGATTTGAGAGGTTTTACACATCCAAAGAACTTATATACCTCTCACTGGGACTAGGCCTTTAAAGAGGTGGTATTATGCTCATTTTCAGGTTAAAATCCTATTTAGGGGTTGTACCAGAACTGGTTTACATGGTTTAATTTTAATAAAACACCATATTTTTTTGTCATACTGCACATTGCTGCAGCTCCTCTTTTCACCCTGTGTTGAAGGCTTCGTTTTAGCTATGGAGTGATAGATCTTGTCTCTAAATGATCTTTGTTGGGAGTTGCACATGCGCAGTTCCTAGTTAAGGACTACTAGCCAATCAGAAGCAGAGAAGGGCAGGTCAGCGAAAGGCCGGTAATAACCAATCAGAAGCTGGTAAACAGCTTCAATTCCAGCTGTGGGCTACATGTTGCCGACCAGGTTGGCAATTTGGACTGGAGCAAGAGTTTCAGAGTGGTGAGTTATTAATCTGTAACAAAAGTATCTTTCATCCATAAAGTTTTAACTGAGCTCTGTCTCTACATCACAGTAACAACTTCATGTCCATTGACTGCCTGGAGGGTAGCTAGTGTTTGGACGGGAGAGGAGAGGTGTGCTGCAGCTCAGTGTTTTTCCACCGGTGTTTTTGAGGGCGTGTCGGACTAGTCGCGCAGCGAGCATTATGGCACGTATTTTCATTGTGACGTCACAAGAAAGGGAAGTAAAGGCTGGACTACAAACGAGCTGTCTTCAGGCAGTTCAGAGCAGCATTTTCTGTGGGAGATGGGAACTCACTTTGGGCTGGACTTTGGGCTTTTTCACTTTGCAATATTACATGCACAAAAAAGGTATATAACTCAATAAAGGAGAGGGAAAAAGCCAAAAACCATAATACCACCTATTTAAAGGAAGTTTACAGTTTATAAAAAACAGAGTAAACAGAAGTAGAGCAGTCCAGCTGCAAATTCAGTAACTAAAGAATGTTTGCTACGCCCACAATCTAACGTGTTTGTAGCCACTTTGTCTAAAGGTTTTAAAGCATTACTGTTGGGCACTATGACCGTCAATCACTTCACATAACATGCCTCTGCAGCACTTTTTAGCAGATGAGGCCTGAGGTTTGTCTTTGCTAGGGGGGGATTTCCTTACTTTTAATAGCTGATCATTTAGAGTACATTGACTCGTCAGCACATTAATGTCTGTGTCTGTCTGTGTCCTGGCTAATGGACTATAGAAGGACATGCTCATGGATTACCGTTTCCAGTGGACATCTGTCCGTGAGCAGGACAGTGTACCCAAATGCTGTGACTGACAGGCTACAAGCTGGAACTCTAACACAGGAAACACTATTTACACATCATGAAAGACTTCCTCTGCATGTTCTCTGCCATGAACCACAAGGATTCTTGAATCTTAAATAAGCTGCAAGATATATAGAAATTCTGTTTTTGTCTGTGCTGAGAAACAGGCCAAACCCTTAGTGACAGATGGGTGACAGGGATCAATATTCCCACTCAGTCATTAGAACATAACACGTGTAAAAACTGCCTCCATAACATCACTATGCTGAGAAGACAGACATAAAAATCTCCTACCATAAAATCACCTGGTATTAGATGCTGACAAATCAGGAAAGCAGAATAAACATCGGTTGCTACTGGCAACTGCAATGTCAACATTATCGTGTATACAGAAACGGCTTAATTACAGAGTAGCAATGTATACAACAGTATAAAAGCACAAAGGTCCAAGGTTACTGTTTTATTAAATGTTCCAAGTGGAAGAGTTTTATTCTCTAAGACTAATTGGTCCCAGCCTGGCCTGATTTCTCTTTAATTCTCTGTAGCTTGATCGGGCTTCATTTTTATCCCCCTTCTTTTCTCTCATTATGTGAAAGTCCCTCGGTCAGCTTGCCCTAGGTCTTAGCTAAGCATAATATCAAGTGCAGATGAAAATGTCTTTTAGTATGTACAGTATTTGCATGAAAACTATTCATTACTGGTTTAAATAACATGGCTTGCAGCAAACATACCTGTTAAGTAAAATCACACAACTGTTTCTGTGGATTTAAGAATGCCCTTAATAGAAATCCAAACTTACAACAAAACGTTTGAGTGAGGCTGTAAATGAAGGTCAGTCCAGGCTGTAGCACTTCCTGCCATCCACTTTATGATCGATGGATCCAATTAATACTCCAAATATCCTATGTTTGACCAGAGATACAATCAATAACAGAGCAGAAGTGATGGAACTTGCAAGAAATCAATACAGAGTTGATAAAAGCACTGAATTGATAACCCTTAAACTTACACAATTGAAAAATACACTATTTCATTAAAACAAAAGCATTTTTGCAGTAACAACTTCAGAAAAAGAATTTAATTTAAAAGAACTCAGTTTTCTGTGCACACTTGGCTTATTGGCCTGTGGTGATTAATAAAAGAGGAGCAAATTCTGAGAAGAATGTGCTGTGGCAGAGACTTTGTTGTTTGTAGGCTAAGTTGTGCATCACTATCACTTTGCCTCGCTTTATAAATTCCTGAGAACCTCACTCACACATTAACATTCAGCTTACATTAACTGTCTCTCCAACAGCATTTCTCCTACCACATTGGATTGCTGATTAACATTCATGACAGAAGACATGCCGAGAGATTGTTCTTATTTAAAAGACACAAACAAAAGAGAAGATAAAGCAGTATTCTGTATCCTGCTATGCTTGCCAGTGCCCAATTACCCCTGTATGAAAAAGTGTATTAGTGATCATATAAATTGCATTATTTACTGTTTGTTAGGTATACTATCTTTTGGACGTTACGTTCTCCAAACAAGCTAATGTATTTCAAAGAAAGTTACTTAATCCCACAGTTTTTTTGACTTATGTTTTCATTTTCAATGATTAGTCTTTCTCTCATACCAATGTAAACAAGCATTACTGGTGTATCTTGTTCAAAGTAAACTATGGCAAGTAAAGTTATAGAACTTTGCCCTACTCAGTTAATCACATCAATAAATCTTGTTTGAATACTTATGCTCTCAGTGACCTGATTGGCAGATGCTGAGTGGAGTAGGGGTTTAGACAAAAAGAGAAAATATCTCATTTATTTCTTAGCACTCTCAAATACACATGGCAACAAGTTCTTTGTTTTCCTACAGACTCAAATCTGACTATAGAAATCTGATATTATCGCTCTCTTTCCTGTCTTCACAGGAAGAAGAGAGAAAGAGGAAGACAAAGAGAGAAGTTAAGGGGAGATGAGAAGAAGGGAGCTAGCTTTTTAAGACCTACAAGTCACAAGATCAGCCAGAGGAAGTTGAGACATCCCTTCTGAAATCCTTTAAATCCCTTCATGCAATGTCAGAGTACCTAACACCTCCTGGCCGAAGAGTGTTATGCTAGTGGGGAAAAAAAACATGTACTTTGTTCTTCAAGAGCAAAGCAGAGTGGGAAAGGACTGATGGATGTTCATGACTGTAAGTATGGCAGTACAGCCTGTTTGAACACTTTGCTGAAAAGACTGCCCCTACTTTCATATCTCAAAATTCACACTGAGCAGAAAGGAAGAGATCACATCCAGGAAGAAGACAGATGAAAAGGAGGATGGAGGAAGGGAGAGAAAGAATGACGAGAGAGGTTTTAGGGAAGAAAGAGGAGAGAGTTAGAGGGATTGAGGAAGAGATGGAAGAAGGGTCTGTCATTTACAGGTATTATTCTACAAAACAACAGGAAGCCTGAGTAAAAAAAAAAACATACTCTCTTTAACTACGGCTCAGAAAGCCATACAAGGCTGTTTGAGCAAAGTTGGCACACGAGAGGAGTCTTGCTAAATCTCTCAGCATTCTGTTGATTTTATCAAACATGCAGCTTGGCAAGGAGACACTGGAACAGTGCGTATACACAGACACACTTCAGCGTGATTCACTATGACCTTCTGTTCATATGCTTCATACAGACAGCTGTATCACTTCAGCACAGCTCAGTGAACTGCAACGTTGACCCTAAAAATAACTCATCTTGTTTGCAAATGTACAGGCCTTTTTTTTTTTAATTTTCAGTATCATATCATCCGTAGCACTATAGTGTGCTGCATCTCAGCAAAGGCCATCCTGAACTAAGTATCACTTTTCTTTTACTTTTAAAAAGGGGTCATTTTATGCTTTTTGGCTTTTTCCCTTTTCTTTATTGAGTTATATATCTTTTTTGTGCATGTAATAGGTTTGCAAAGTGAAGTCCACCCCAAAGGGTATCACCATCTCCCACAGGAAACACTGCTCCCAAAAACACTGGTGGAGAAACACACTGAGCTGTAGCACACACAGTGACAAGAGCTACGTCAGAGATGACTGCGGCTGACTTTTGCCAACTTGATAGTCAAACGTGAGCTGCAGGCGACAGCAGGGGCGGGGTATAAACAGCACCGTCCAGTAGAGTAGGACACATTCTACCTGCGTGAGTTTACTGTGAGCTTAGATTAGTCGGAAGGTGATTCCAACTTTGTGCAGCCGGAGAAAAGCAACTGCAACTGTACTGCACATGTGATGCTCCCAATAAAGATTATATAGAAGTGAGCTGCTTCACTCATAGCTAAAAGTGTTCAACACACAGGGTGAAAAGAGGTGATAGAAATAAAAAATGATAAAAAATATGGTGTTTTCTGAAAATTAAACCATTTAAACCTGTTCTGGTACAACTCCTAAATATTTACATTTACTCATTTGGCAGACAGCAATACATATTAATAAAAGTAGCAATAAATACTAGTAAGCGCTAATGGCACATATCGCATCAATGGGGTAAATACCTAGGAAAAGAAGTTAGGGTTAACAAAAAGTGCAGTCAATACAAGAGAATAGTAGGGGATAGAAGAAGAAGAGCACAGGAACTGCATGTTAGATGTTAGGATTTAGAGGTGTTATAAGACAGTGTTTCCAAACCCTCCCCTGGAGGCACTAGTCCTGCATGTTTTAGAACTCTCCCTGCTCCCACGCAGATTTAACAGCTTTAGCAGTTCATAACGAGATGATCATTTGAATCAGCTGTGTGGGAGCAGGGAGAGATCTAAAACATGCAGGACTAGTGCCTCCAGGAGAGGGTTGGGAAACACGGTTATAAGAGGAAGTGTCCTCGGAAGAGATGAGTTTTCAAGAGCTTCTTGAAGTTAGAGAGGGACGCCCCTGCTCTGATGGCGTGTGGTAGCTCGTTTCATCATTGTGGTGTCACAGATGTGAATAGCCGGGACTGGGATTGCTTTGTGTGAAGGGATGGCAGAGCCAGACGGCGTTCGTTGGAGGAGCGTAGTGGCCAATAAGGAACATAAACTTGTATTATGGAGTTTAGGTAGATGGGTGCAGACCCAGTAGTCACTCTGTATGCAAGCATTAGTGACTTGAATCTGATTCTGGAGGCCACGGGGAGCCAGTGGAGGACACACAGTAATGGAGTGACATGCGTCCTTTTGGGCTGATCAAAAACCAAACGCACTGCTGCGTTCTGAACCATTTGTAGGTAGGGCATTGCAATAGTCAAGGCGAGAGGTAACCATGTACCAGAAGCTGGGTGGCATAGTGAGTGAGGTAGGGCCTGATTTTTCTGATGTTGTATAGAGCAAAGCGGCACGACCGAGAGACAGCAGCAACATGGTCTGAAAAGGACAGCTGGTCATCAATCATGACACCCAGGTTTCTCAGTACCCTGGTTGGAGTGATTGTTGAGGAGCTAATTTGTAGTTTGATGTTATGGTGGAAAGATTAATTGGCTGGGATGACCAAGAGTTCAGTCTTAAGCTGCGTTCACTCTTTGGTTTGGGTCTGGCAACAGGAGTACAAGTGCTCTGTTATGGGCTTTCGATCCTCCTCCAGATTACCAAGACATAAGGTTGGTTTCAGTGGGGGGGGACCCACCCAGTTGTTTGAGCTCACTCAGCCGACCTTCAGATTCTAGTAGAATGCTCAGTGCAAAGTGATAGCACATCAAGACTAAGAAAATAGAGTAAAGTAAATAGAGTAAATTATTACCTCACTGCTGCAAACTCTTACTTGCCCAACGGTGCTTTCCTGTATTTGAGAGTACAACAGGAGTACTGTGATATGGGCTTTTGATCTCCCTCTGGATTACAGTGACAAAAGGTTGGTTTAAGTGGGTGTGACACACAACCATATAATTATGAAACTGAAAATGAACATATGACCTCTTTAAGGAAATCTGTCAGGATTTATTTTTGATGATCCATAAACTAGGTTATATGGTTGAGATTGTGTTTCGAATTTCTTCTTGCTTCTGCTTGTAGAATGAACGTGTAACAGAGGTGACAACATATCAAGTCAAGTCCATCAGCCAAACAGTCAATCGAAACCAAAGGCAACTTATCTCCCCACATTTCAAACAGCGTTTAGTGCTCGCACTAGTGTTTCTTTGCTAAATTGCTAAAAATGATCCTTCCCACTACTGGTGAATCATATCGCAAATCGTAATATGTGACAGAAATAATCGCAACATGATTTTTTTTTTAACCATATCTTGTAGCCCTACATGAAACCATAAAGTTACTCAGCAATGACAGAGTGCGGTAAAATAGCTTTTAAAGGGGCATTATGGAGTTTCCAGCGGCCACTAGCGGTGTGGTTTTAAGATTGCAACCAGGCATGTGCTCGTACGCGTGCTCGCTTGAATTCATGAGTGAGCATATTCCGAAACACTACAGAAATCCTGCAATAAACGCAGAAACACCAGCATGCAGGCTGTGGCTTTTCACACAGACATGTTCAGGCTGTGTTACTTCAACGTTCCTGTCTCAGAGGCAGATCAACACCGGCTCCGTTACGTTATTTCATTCAGCAAAGCGAGCCGCATATCGTCACAATCCTCCCGGATCAAAGGCAGAGTTACAGCGGCTATAGACAGGCAGGGAGACTGCTTCACACAACATGCTGGAAGCTCAGGTAAACCCCTACTGCAATGTTACAGTAATAGTTTTATCAGCTGCAGGTTTAACTAATCCATGCTCGTTATGTGATCACGGTACATTTACTGCATTTAGCCGACATGCTGCAGCATTAGCTCGTCTGCTGCTTTCAGTAACTATCTTTACTATCTGTGTATTTTTCACCGGAGGCTCAGCAGTGTCAGCACAACTAAATGTTTTGGATGATAAAGAAACGGGTAGTGAACTGGGCTGAATATTATAACGAGATTGTGTCACACTTTATAATAATAAGGCCGCAGTAAGTAAATTTACTGTAGTGTTAGTGCATGGCTCTTCCTCTGGGTTGTATATTATGTGGGTCATGTTAGTTACAGGGACTGAGAGGTGGAGAAGCTGTGTACCTGAGTATGGGTAAAAGGCAATAAATCTAAATTGAACATTACGAAGCAAACAGTGGCAGGTCCGAGCTAATGTAGCGTTAGCTGGCTGCATCACTATAGGATAGTAAACAAATCGTTCCACATTTGCTTTTTACCATTACATAATTTCTTGCAGGCTTTGACATAATACCAGTGGTACACAGGGAAGTAACATGGGTCGCGTTAGTTGGTGAATTAATGTGGAAAGCGATCGGATAACATTAGCAACTGCTCGGTGTTAGCCGGCGAGCTAATGTGACTTTCTCTGTGTTTCTCCAGCTTTACTAATGCTCACTTTGTTCTTACTCGACATCATCTGAACATGTTTGGTCTGATGGGCTTCAGCACATGAACCTTTATTGTCGTTTTGTGTCCCTACGTGTTTTGCTGGGAGCCGGTTGTTTTATGGTATTAGTGGACTGCATGTTGTTAGCTGCCGTGTTGTCGCTGTAGTGGGAGAGAGGCTCGGGAGCGCGCACAGAGCTGAATCCGACCCGGAGACCTCACATTAAAAGCAGAATAGTGGTTGATGCAAGCAACAGAGAAAACAGGCGTGTGCTTCATTTCTAAGTGAGTTTTGAGCCCACTGACAATAAGGCAATGAAAATTTGATTAAAATCAAAAACTTACATATAGCCCCTTTAAGTTAATATTGAGGGCCTGATATATACATAAAAGCAACCTTTCACTGTCACTTGATCAACTTCTCTTTTGTTGTAGAATGTTATACAAAAATAAATCAATTCAATCAATCATACTGTTCAGACCTCCAGAGAAGGAGATTCATTTTGTCTTATTGAAAGTGGATATGGGTTACAAATGGCTGATATACATGTCCAGATATGATAAGTGATTTACCATATGCTACAAGCCTTTAAACATGTGTGTGTGTTTGGAGTGAGATAGAGCGGTCAGATAAGAACACCCCCACAGCCCATCTGTCGGTCCCTCTTATCTTTCAGACATGGGACCTATCTGATCAGGTCCAGCGTCTGGTTGTATAAATGTTCTCAGTCCCTGTGTTAACAGTGAGGCCTGCTGTGTGTCCAAAGGGTGAGACGGTACACAGGCAGATCATGTGCTGTTAGCTGGCAAAAGCAAGTGGAAACTTATTTAGCTTCTCAGGACTGGCTGGCAAAACCCTCCTCCTCAGCAGAGTCGCTGAGGTAAAATAAAAGTGACTGAGCCCTCATGTACTCTTACATTGAAGTACAAGGTATTGTGTTGCAGCCTGTTCAACTGTGATGCTTCACAAGCCTTCTTTAACTGGCGTGAGACTCTGTCTCAATTCCCTTCTTTGTGATTGTTATGCATAGGGAAATCTGAATAAGCAAAATGAAAACAAAAAAATACCATTATGTACAGACACTAAGGAAGCCTACTGCCTTCTTTGAATCTAATCTTTATGGTGATGAAGGGTTCAGAAAAGTAATTGGCTTTCACATACTTTAAAAGACTCAAGTCAGATCCAAATGATCCCACTGAGTGACCGGAGGAGTAATAATAATCACATCACTGTCTCTGAGAGGTAGCTGTGCTAATCGGCTAGACTGATTATGGAGACCTGGAGGACCTCAGTCACTTTTAATGAGTAGAGGCAGATTTACTGTGATAGGATTAAGGCCTACCTAAATCTGAAATCAATCTTATTAAATCTTTTTGCCACACAGGCCGCTGTGACAAACTCTCAGGGCTGAACATTTTCACTTCTGATACAGGCAAAGTGTGGGCAAAAACAGAGCAATCTGTTCAAACGGCTTCTCCTCATGCAAAAACAAAACAAAACACATGGGCCATCTATTACACTCAGCAGATGAATGCAACAAGGAAATGACGAGTTTCACTGGGCAACTACCTAACAAATATCCCATAAAGTTAAACAGTACAAACCGTCCCTATCACGAGTAACGTTAAACGTTACAAGTTAGCAAACCGGGTGGCACTGTGCACCTGCTCCAGTATCACCACGATCATCAAACTTTAAATGTGAGACCTTCACAAACTCACAAAAGACTTCTTACCGCTTTGGTAGATCGCGCAGACTTCCCCGAAGAGGCAAAGTAATCCCGTTTTCTCTGTTTGAAGGTGATTAATTCAAAGGCTCAGCGGAACTCAACACTTCTGACGATGTGGTTCAGCCAAAATGGTACGATACGAACCGGTGTTCCTCTTACCTGAACTTGAACCTTATTCCTAACCCCAAAAAGTGACCAGCCTAACCCTAGCTAACACCTAAATTATCTCTGTTACGCCTGAATTACTCCCAGTTTAACCTACCCTCTACTGCCCAACCGCGGAGGGTTAAAAACTGAAAGGGGGGACAGACTTCGACACAACACCGGTGTCTGAATTTCAAGCCACAATCAGGCGAAAAACTAGCCAAGCGAACAGAAGAATACAGACGATGTAGTTCAGAGTCAGCCCCTCTGCCTGTTCACAAAACTTCAGCAGCTTTTTTGGCTTCGTTTTCAGGGTTGACTGAACCGCTTGATGGAAACAAAGCTGCTGAACAGAGCTGCGACAAAGCAGAAAAAATAAGGAGGTGCATCCGGCGTGATGGATTTCAAAATAAACTGCATTAATATCACCGTTTTAATTTCTGAATCTCAGACTTCACTTCACTATTTTTAGTGGTCTGTTTTGCTCACAATCAATGTGTTAAGCTGTAAAGACAAAAGCATGACACTTAATTAAATGAACATCAAAGGTCGTTTCTAAACTAACTGCCTAGATAGTGCGCAGAAAGTGTCAGAAGATAAAGCTTACAAATTACAAAACCTATTCCCTTTACATAAGTCAGTGTTATGCTGAGTGACTGTCAACCTAAACGAGGCATTTTTCATAGAAATAATAATTTACAAATTGTAAAAAACATACTTTATGCTGTATTCACATCCTTCATTCACAATTCTTAGAGAATAGGGTGATAAAATATCATATCACATTATGTACAAACTTTGACACTGTGATTTGCTATGTGTTGCTATTTGCTTCCACCTATTTATTGATATTGATATGTATATTTCATCCTTTTATCAACTTCATACCTAACTTATGTGATATAAGTACACTCTGTTATTTTATCCTAATTTTATCTTTATACCTTTTTCCTATTTACCAATGTGCTCTTTGTACCGCAAATGAATAGCTATCCAATAGTGTTGTACTTATGACTATAACAATAAATGGCAATAACATATGTTTCTTTCATTCATTTAAAAACACACACACACACACACACACACACACACACTTACTGAGCTTGTTGATAAGCATTAACAGTCCTTTAGAACCTAAAAGAAACAAGCAAAGTACATTGCAATTATGTATGTATTTATACAATGTTGTAAGAAGCAAATGTGGTTAGAAACACTTTAATTGAATTTATTTATTCCTTTTATTTTGTAGAAAAAAACGTGCTTACAGGAAATTATACTCTTAGCAATTGTATCTAACATTACAGATTAGGAACTTTATCATTTTAAATTTTGTGCAGGATTTCAACTGCACCCGCTCATCATTTCTCCATCTATAGGCAGTAACCCAACATTTAGACTGTATTTAAACCCCATTTCACCGTTCTTGTGTTTGCTTTATACTTATATTGGTTTAATATTTTCTATGGGGTTTCACTAGCCTTCATGCTTGTGTGAAGGTTTTATCCTACACTTCCCCTGAAGGGAAACGATATTTTATAGTAGCTGTTGATCGACTATAATAAAACACTCCGGCTTCTCCACTTTTAGGTCGTTGAACACGACAGTTGCAGACTGCATAAAATCTATTCAGGAGTGTTACAGTGCCTTGTGTCCTGCTGGCCGTTCATTCAATGAATTACGTCATTGTACTCTCACACTGTGTGTGCGTGAGGAGAGAGAGGGAGAGAGAGGTGGACTTTTATGGTTAAATATATACAGTGGCACTGAAGACACGTGGTTAGTGGACAGTGAAAACAGTCACTGTAGTACAGAATATGCTAGAACAGTTAGACTTTACAAATTATTTCGACAAAAAGGATGAAACGCCTTCTATCTAAACTGTAAATATAAACAGATTCAGAGTGCGATAGACCTAGCTGTGGGTTTAATATGTTGCATATGTGTGTGATATACTTTTTTAAAATGTCACCCAGTCATTTCTTGGTGATTATTGTTGTTTTCCACGTGCTCGACCGTGCACCGTCTGTTGTGCGCATTCTTGTATCCTAGCAACGCAGGAATATGCCATTTGGAGGTGGTCGGTTACAACCCGTTGAAACCAACACAACTTTTACAATAAACCCACGTGTTTCTTGAATCGTATACATCTAATAATATTTTAAAATGACATATACACTTCTTTATACATATGTAATAAATCTGGTGAGTATATTTAGCTTTAATCCCATTTGAAGACTTCCAAGCCCCCCTCCTTGCAGTGTGAATTCAGTGGCCCATTACTCTTCCGCCAACAGCGGGTAGTTGAAGAGGTAAGTTCTAAGGTTGTTTGTTAGTAAGTGTGAGAAATAGATACATATTGTTAAATAAGTTTTTGTTTCTGGCTGTGTGTATAGTTGCATACTACTTTTTAGGTGTTTCTGTTAATTTCTGTGTCGTTACAAGCGAATCAACTGCCCGTGCTATTAGACGTTAACAGTTAACGTTTGACACAAGTCAACCGTTAGCATCTAAATTGACAGTTAAGTTAACGCTAAAAATGTTATTCACTATCTAAAAAGTTAAATATCAACTTTCAAATATGCATATTAATATAACCAACGTTATATTCGCTGCATTTAAGAGTCCTATCTGTACTACAGCTAATTAACGTTACCCGTAATTTTAATCAGCTGGTAAAGTTTACAGGTAGACTTTTTATATCTGCTAAAGCCTATGCTAAATGTAAGTTTCTCATATGGCAAACTTAACGAGACAAGTATTCCTAGATATACATGTAGGCCTACATTATTTATTTACATAGGCTAATATTTAAATGTATTTATTTGTTTCAACCTTAATAAAATACAAACATGACCAATGTAACGTTAGTCCTTTGTTATTTTTCATTAAGAGTGATGTTAGCCAATGTCCAACCATATACATACCTTTATCAGGTTTTGGTTATGTCAATCGAATAGCATGGACTATAACTAACAGTGGATAACTTAGAGCAAATGCACAACATGTATGATAAAGCTATGGTCATAAAATACTTTGTTTGGTTTTATGTCTGATATTCCTCTGTTTCCTTTCCTCATGACAAACTCTACTACTACTACATTTTTAACTCAGCTCCTTAAAATGCGTAATGATTGTAACTTCAGGCCTCTTATTTCATTTCCACAGTGGATGGAGAACTTCATCCTGTATGAGGAACTTGGGGCAGGGAGAAGCTCTGTTGTCTATAAAGGACGAAGGAAGGGCCATCTCAGCTATGTAGCCATCATCTGCGCGGACAAAGCCAAGAGACCTGAGATTACTAACCATGTAGGATAGTGCTGTAAACTCTATAAATTTATTAAGAGATCTGTTACATTTCCATTATATTAACTTTTTTTTTTTTTACTATAATCTATTTTTTTTATGCAGTTGGCAGAGGCCCTTACATTGCCAACTATAAAATAATGTTTTAAAAAATATTAAGTGCTATATTGACATGAAAAACAACTATATGCATTAAAAGTCATACTTAGACAGAGGTTTGGTTCCTCTGTTTCCAATTTAATGAGTTTCCCAAATTTTCCAAACATTGTTTACCAAACAGTTCTGAGATTATAGGTATACTTCTTTTTACGGTAATTTTGTGTGAACCATTCAAGAAAGAATACTTACTGTACACATATGTACACTTCTGTCCCATGTTAGGTACGTCTCAGCCATGATCTGGATCATCCAAACATAGTATGCTTCTATGAGTGGTATGAGACAAGTAACCACCTCTGGTTGGTAGTGGAGCTCTGCACAGGTCAGTACTTTTTTCTGGCACTCCTGATAAGAATTCATGCACTAATAGCAGTAATATGCTTGTTTTCAGCCATCACATTATGTGGAGTGAGAAATGCATCTTCAAGCAGCTTAAAACTAATAAAATTTCATAGATTGTGATGCCCTGTACATACCTTTATATTCTGGCATGTTAAGATTTCTCTCAAGCATTTTTTTTATTATCTATTATCTATCTATTAGGTGGTTCCCTGGAGTCTGTAATTGGTCATGATGGATGTCTGTCAGAAGATGTGGTGAGGCGGTTTGGATGGGACTTGGTCAAAGGACTGAAACACATCCATAAATTAGGAATCATTTTCTCTGACTTGACCCCTGCTAAGGTTTGCCTCTGCATTCATGTGTATGTAGGACTAAGAGTATTACATTAAATGATAATTATTATATGAATACTAATAGAGTAACTGTCCTTTTGCTGCGCATAGATCCTACTGGATGGTAGTGGCATTCTGAAGTTTGGTAACTTCTGTCGGTCCAAGGCAGAGGGAGAGACACTGGATGATTTCTTCACCTTGCTCTCTACATGTGAGGAGGCGGGGGAACGAGATAACAAGCAGAATCTTGATAACATGAAGAAAAGATTACAAGGTCAGAGGTTGATTGATGGAGATGCTAACCCCTAGATTATCCAAGAGTATAGTTTTTATGATGGATCCAGTTCAACTGGGACACAGCTTATACATTCTGGGGAAAACACATACAGGGGAAGACGAATTGCCAGCCAAAGAAAGGCTGTGTGTTAGGTTACAACAAAAACAACTCTTATGTGGGTGAATTTAAAAGGGAGGTATAGGAGGCTGAACAAGGGGAAGCTGTTCTTATGATAAGGTGATATCAGAAACTAAAAGCTGAGAACACGTGGAGAACGTGCACAGTCTGATAACTAAGTGATCTAAAGAAGTCTACCTTGCATCAGTAATTTAAATAAAAAGAATACAAAGGCTAAAATTTGACATCAGTACATCTTTGTTCATGTTGAGGATGCCATCTTTATGTCATTTTAAACTTTTTTTTGTCTTTCCTAATTACTGTATGTTTATGTATGTATATCTTCAGGTTCTCCAACTTACAGCGCTCCAGAAGTTTTGCAGGGATCAGAAACCAATATGAGCTCTGATCTCTGGGCTATGGGTTGCATACTTTACTACATGTACACTGGTAACCACATGTACACACACACACACACACACACACACAGACACATGCATACATTGAATCTGATTAAGTACAAGAGTATAACTGAATTTTTCACAATTTTATCTGTAATTTATGATGATGTGACTGATGATTTACTGGACTGAAGAAAACTTAAGTATTAAGTAAAAGCATACTGTAACTAAAACCTGAAAAACTAGGTGAAACAGAACAGCTATATAATAGGCAATAAGATACTAACAATGACCTCAATAGTATACTGTAATGGACCCTGTTATAAGCCTAAACCCAAACTGTTTTTGTTTCACAGGTAAACCTCCGTTCTATTCTGATAGCTGCACTGAACTGACAGAGATGATTTTACATCAGGAACCACCACCACCTAGACAGACCGGTAATACACACTCTCTCACATACACACATGCACATGCTTGCATACAGACACACATTTACACACATATGTGATGTTTAACAAAAATTGTTTTGTTGCTGTTTAGCAAAATAAATGTTAGCAGCTGTATGATACCTTGTTGCAGACTGCTTTGCATTGTATGTTGCTGTTATAGAGTTTGTTTGTTTAATAAATTAATTAATTATATTCTGTCCTGTTTGTCACAGTGTATTCAGCCAGTCCTCCCAGTGAGGATTTCCAGAATCTTCTGAAAGGCTTGCTCAACAAAAACCCCGATAAGAGGTCAGGTTCACAGACACACACTCAGGTCCAGCACACACTCTATTCTAGGACTGCTGGTACTATCATCATAACATGCGTCAGGGCTGAAATCTTGTGGTAGCTTACACTTTGATTTGATTACCATTACAGCATCCATACCGTCAATTAAATTATAGGGAGCATGTTGGACTTCCTTGCTCACTTGTGATCACGTCACATAACATAACTTTACAATGCTGCAGATGTTATTGTTATATATTACTTATGTTGCCCACTCTATTGGATAAATGTTTGTAAATCCCCAACAGAACAAATGTCTTAATGTTATTTAATCTCTTATTTCTTAAAATGGTAGCTATCTTATTATAATCTGCACATTTATAAGAAGTGTAATTTAAAAAGCAAGTCTAGTTCTGGGATAAATTAAAAATAGATAGCTAAAGACTGTCTAAGACTCCTTAACTATTTAAGACTGCTGCTTTTTATTGCATGTTGAGCTCAGTATCATGTTTCTGTGTCCTAATGTTTAGTTTTGTTGTTTGTTGTATTTTAGGATGAACTGGTCAGAGTTGCTGGACCACCCTTTCTGGACACAAGTGCTAAAGGGGGAAGAGGATGCAGATGAGGGAGAAGAGGAGAATCAAGAAGAGGATCGGGAGGGAAACAATGGCTGTGAGGGGGTTGGTTCAGCTAGCTTGAGGTGTGTTGATATATTATTATTTCTCTTGATTTTACAGTGCCTGCCAGGTATTTTGTTGCAGCCATTTTACTGCATACAGACTTGCTTTCTGAAAGAGTAGCCATAAACACATGACAAACAAATGGTAGATGTAGATGGAAAAAAGTAATTCAAGACCAGTCTAATCTTTTTTAATCCACTGGGAGAAGCCACAATTTTGAAACAATTTTCAATATGATGCAGTTCAACAGCACAACAAACAGCCTGCAGTAACATATTTTGCATTTAATTTGAATTTATTTTAATTTAAATATTTTTTCCCTCAGATGAAGAGTTTGCATTAGTTTGAGTTTTTTCAATACCTCCACAGACACACAAGGATCCCTGACCCTTTCCCTCCAGGACAGGCAGACGAGCTTGCCAACAGTCCCTCTGCAATCACCCAGCCAGCCCATAGGATTTCTAAGAAACTAATATCATCACAGACAACAACTGTAACAACTGACAGACGGACTGATTGCCAACAAGCTGTCAGAAACACAACCTGTGGATCCTTAAGGAAGGGAGGAGGAGGGGGGGAGGCAAAGAAAGAATATGACCCCAAGCTACCTGGGGCCCAACAGATGTACCACACACTGCAGCCCAATAAATCATTCACAATAGGTAACACATTCACTGAGTTCTGTGCTTGGTTATGTTTATTAGACATGGGAGTTTAATACTTGGCCACAACAGACTATGTAATTTTGAACAATAATTACCAGTTTCTACGACTATTTTTGTGTCCTCTGTATGTGTGTGTGCACTCGCGTGTGTGTGCGCATGCGTGACAGTTAACATGAAAGGTCGTTGATTGGACATTATATACTGTATTTACTGTATTAATGGGAAATAACCTATCATCATACCCCTAGGCTAGGCTCTTTCGAAGTAGCAGCAATTATAATTTGTAACTTAATATTTTTGAAGGACAGGAACAACAATCACAATAACCAACCTTTCTTACATAAACAGATAATATTTATTAGGGTTTTAATTCGTTTATATCTGTTTGTGATCTGTTTTGTTTCACCAAAACAGTTGGATGAATATGGCTGTAGTAATCTGGTTTTCTAGAGAAGCCAATTTTGTTCTGTCTTAGTATTTGCCCCTGAAGTTCAAACATCTGGATCACCTCCTTTATATGCATATGCCTCAGACATATGTATCCTTGAAAATCAGATTATATGTCTTGTCTGCTTCCTCCTCAAGATAACCTATCAGAGTTCAGGCCAAAGAATGGAGTGGATGAGGACAACACTGAGGCCATTTTTCTGCTCAGGTATTCAGTTCAGTCTATCCTGTGTACCTGTTTTACCCAGTAAGCTAATTGAAGGCCTAATTCATGTCTTTTATCTGAAGAAGAATGTGAATCTCATCTATCCTCAGCAATACTGTGCTCTACCAATTAAGTCACAGGAGGTCAGCCTCATATATACTGTATATCCAACTGATAGCCGATAAGCAGCTAACAGTTTTAATATTCTGTTCTTCTAGCTCCTGTGCCAACTCAAGGAGGAGCTGCAGTATCCCAGACTCTCCAAACCAGACCCCTGCACCTCAGGTTACTATATACTATACCATATACTCTGACATCTGTAAGAACATGTTAACAGTAGTTAGTAGTAGTAGTAGTAAAAGTCAGTAAAATAACATGAATAACTTAGTTACCATGCCTAAATGCAATCACTCTACTGCTATTTTTATTGCTATTAATACTTAAAATATATTCACTTATATGTCTAACATTGCAGGCATGTTACCTCTGTAAATACTCTCCTTCTGTTCCCCTCCTCCTAGGGCAATACTGGTGTTAACATTAAATCCTGTGTGAAAGCTCTTCTCCATACTGACTCTGATCTGACTGTCACCCCAATCATGGACAACCCCAAGGTACAGACAAGCAATATTATCGGACACAGGCTAGTTCGAGGGTTTATTATCTTCAGTAGTAAGTATCTTTGTGAGGAGCGTTTCCTGCTGCCTCACAGAATTAAATTGTATAAGCTAAGGCTTTCAAAGGTTTGTGTTCATTTTTTAATGTAATAAAAATGCGTGCATGCTGAATTCAATGAAACATGGTTACTAGGAAGTAAGGAAAAAAGCTACATGGGATTTTGATATGAAGATCAGTCAGCTCATATTGAGGCTCACTGTTCTCTTCTATTTACCAGATTCTTAAGAGTTCTCCTGTGCGATTTGATCCCAAAACCCTTTGTGTACCAGCATATTCAGGTACTGTGTTACATTTGTTTCATCAGTATCAAGTGAGATTTTATCAGTGTCCTGCAGAAAGAATGGTCATGACGTTTTCCCTCCCTTCTCCTCTCCTCTCCTCTCTGGAATATGCTCTCTCCTGCTGGAATATTCTCTCCTCCAGTTGAGAAGCTGCACTCCCTGAGTGATGAAGAGTGGACTGTCTTCCTCTTGCAGCTCCATTCATCCCTTGAAGAACAGAACCCCTCCGCTCCTCTCTCCTCCTCCTCCATAGCCCCTCCTCCTCCCTCCACAGTGACTCGCTCCAGACTCAACCTGCTGTGCTACCTCTGCTGTGTGGTTGGACATAAAGTTATTGCTAACAGGCTGATTAACTCAACCCTGGTAGGAAAACATGTATTAACTTAGGATCCATGTTTAGATATTATTGCATCACTGTTGGCTGGGTTTAGCGAGATAGTTTTGCAGTTTGAGGCAATATTGTAGACCTCAACACTGCATGGCAACATGGGAGTCCTTGCTCTCAGGGGAGTGAAAATTAGCTTATATAATAACCTTTTTTTAAATTTGTTTGTAAAATTTAATACATACAATATAATATGTTTATTTATTTTAATTATTTTCTCAGTGCTCTGTCCTTGTGCTCCCTCACACATTTCTGAGCCACCTATCAGCAAAGAGCTTCACCAGGAAGATGTAGCGTGCTAGTGTTCCGAGCTAGTTATTAATCAAGTGGGAATCATTAGTGCAGTGAAACGGACATAGTCTTATAGAATTAGTCTGGGCTAAAACCAGGACTTATGTTTCGACTAACTTTGAACATGAAATACCTGAGAACATGTATATTTATCAAAATTAAGAATTTAGTTGTAACAAAACACACAAGAAAATTATGACTTTCCAGACACGTCAGTGCTGATATAACATGGTGTGATAATACAAACATAGCACATTACACATCTAAAACACACGCTGTCATATGCCATCATTAATTTTAATCTTGTCTCTCTCTCTATTCTCCTCCCTGCCTCAGCTTCCAGTATTGACTCAGCAGTTACGACAAGCTCCTAACTGGGATGTGTAAGTACATTATGTTTGTGTTCTCTTTCTATAAACCAGGGAGCATGATTGTGTGCCTGAAATGTTGCAGGAGTTGTGGTTCCTACCAATACACAGTAAAAACATAAACTTGAATAATCATCGGTGGAGCTGAACTATAAGCTATTGAGATTCGGATACCCAAAATGCAAGAGATGTGGCAGAACCTAACTATGATAGAAAGGCTGCTGGCTGAAAAAGCACTATGATAATTTTTTGTGTGGCTGCAATAAAGTAACAAACATGAGGGGTAGACAAACACTTGGAAGATAGCACACCTTTCTCCCGCTCCCTTTCCTTTGCAGTTCTTTAAGAACTGTGTTTCCAAGTTACTGTCATTAACGCACTGTTGGCAACACATAGCATGGTCTTTGAAAGCTAAAAAACAACAAACAAAACACAAAACAAAATAGCTGTTTACAAATTTCTGTTGCAACCTTAAAACATTAACTAGAAACTGATGTCCTGCTTTTTCTACCATACTATGTGTATGGGCAAGTTTTAGAATTAAAGTGATAGAAAATACTGTTTTGGATATTCCTGTGTTGATATTCAAACAGAAAATCAACATTTTTCACATGTATGTATTTAATGAAAATTATAAAACAAAAATTCCAGGCGGAGCAAGGTCCTCAGAGTGATGGGTCTCCTGGCTCTGCATTGTTCGGAACTCGGAGAGGACAGTCCTGTTTCTGAGGTCTGACACGCGCGCACACACACACACACACACACACACATACATGCAATACATGCTCACACACAGTGTTGATATGTAAATGGCCATTTCAATTCCATATTGTTTCCACTGCAAGCTCACATTTAGTGTTGGATTTAATTTAGACTGGAGTTACAGTATATCTCATTCAGCCTTTAGTGGCTAGAACAGGAGCATTAATAAAACATATTTTTTCATTTTTAGTTAAAAGTCAAGTATTCAATATCAAACCAAACACATCAAACAAATTAATCAGGTGAAGTCCCAAACCTTTGCAAAACATTTTGAGGACCTAAAACCTGCCATACCAGTTTGCACCATAAGGTGGCAGTACATACCAGCAAGAGCCCACTATATGCATATAACAAAGTATGAATGCACATTTACGCATAAAAACATACATGTAACTTAAGAACAAAGAGTGCAGTACTGCATACACTACATATAGTTGTTTCTTTTACTGTAAGTCAACTATGATTTTTTTAAATTTTATACATGTGCATTAACATTGTTTGGATGTAATCCAGCTTGTCTTCATTTAGGGGCATATCACCAATAATTTAAACTTGTGTGCATGAGAATACTTCCACTTCTTTCTTTCTTTCCACTCTAACTTTATAGTACTACTAGTGTGTACCAGCAGGTGGCATTAAAAACCTACATGACAATATGTATTTTTTTCTGCCTCAGAGATACTGAAAACACCATCACTCACTCACTCTCTCTCTCACACACACACACACACACACACACACACGCACCGGTACACAATGGTCATTTTGGTGTATATAGTTTGTGGTGCTGTTTATTTGTATTGCATTATACAGTGCGTTGTTTCTGTTAACACATCTATTAATTCTACCCTGGCTGATATAAACAGGTAAACAGGGTGCACAAAATAACACAACCACCCGTCATTATAACACAGAACAGTTCAACAGCACTACAAACTGCAGCCTCCAAAATGACCATACATTTGAATCAACCCCTCTCTAAAATGATAAGCTTTATGAAGGTAGGATTTATTGCCGGATTGTTGTATTAAACTGCATTAGTATTAGCAGAGTGAGCCAAATAAATTGGCAACTGAGTGTATGTAGCTACATTACTGTAATACCCATAACCATATTAAAGTGCTGCAAAATAATAGGACACACTTGTCTACACACATTTTCCTAGACAGAGACACACATAGACAATTCATATACTTTACTGAGCCCCCCCAACACACACATATTCAGACAGAGTGGTGCTGAACTAATTTAACGTAAAAGCAGTTTTGTATGGAAGTGGGATGTGGAGCTTCTCTCCCTTATTTAATCCTTTCATCCTGAACAGAACTAAACACGCTTTCCTTGTCTCTCTTATTTCTACCTTTTCTCTACTTTTCTTTGTCTCTTCATCGGCTCAATTACATCCATTTATTCAAAATGAAATCCATTCCGGCTACAATAGTTTTGATCCCACATCTTCTCCCTTTCCTGGTTTGCCCTTTATCTGTCTTTCTCCACTTGTTCTGACACTTTACTGCTACCGAGTCGTCACGGCGATTTACAAAATGGCCGACTGTGGCATAGCAGTGTTTTTTCGCTGCGTGTGTTGTTAAAGACAAATGGCGGAACATTTTTTTCGCTACCCTCCTTACTTCCCCACAGCTACCGTAGGATGACAAATTGTTAAGAAAAGGACAAAGCTGTGCGTCTGTCTGTTTGTATCTATGACTATGTGTGTGTCCATCTATAGACTCAGCAGGGGCTCTCCCTCTCTGTGCGTGTGAGTGTGTTTTAAAGTCTGATGTTTGTGTGTGCACTCAGCAGGGGTCCTGTGTATATAGTCACTGTGTCTGTTCTGTTTCCCTATTTGTGTGTGTTTGTTTGCATGCAAATGTTCAGTGTGTGTATTCTTATGTTGTAGTGATGCCAACAGCTGACCAATAAAACAGCATACACTTGCATTTTGCTGTGTGTGTGTGTGGTGTGTTTTCTCAGCAGGGGTTCTCCTGCTGCAGTCCTGCTGATTGGAGTGTCAGGGCTGGGCTTAGTTACCATGGTAACAGCTATATGCTTCGATCACCCCCCCCTTCTCACACACACACACACACACACACACACACACACACCTGTCTGTCTCTCCTTCTGTCTCACTCTTTCCTGTCTGTCTGTTCGCCTGCTTTTTCATTTATCTCGCTGTTAGTCCGTCTGTCTTTGTCCCTCACACTCTGTCTCTCTCCTTGAATAGAATAAAATGAGTAACTAAAATATTCTGGGTTAATGTTACTAACGCAAGCTTGCTACTTTCCTTATGTAACGTAGAGAAGCTGTGCATTCAAAACCAACTAAATCATTTCCCCCTTCACTTATCATCACTTATAAAGTTTTCTGTGGCTTTTACAGCGGTTTAGCCAGTAAAGCTTCTACGGTGCAGGGTGTTTCATGGGGATATGGAGTCTTAACGCATTCTGAGAGCTCACAGCAATCTTTAGGAACAGGCATTCAGAGGACAATGGCTCCAGAAAGACACTCGAAGCATTTGTGAATACCTCTTGCAAGTAAAAGTTCAGATCTGACAACAAATTAATTTAGATAAATCTACAGTACAGTATAGATTCATACGCTTATGGTCAAACAGCAATTGTAGCTGTGTTGTATCCTGGAGAAATCTGGCTGTTCTAGCTATAGGTATAGGTGCTCATGTGCATGTGCTCATTTGGATGTGTCTTATTTGTGTGTGTATGTGCAAAACTTATGTGTGCTGTGTTTTTATTCTCTGCAGCAATATATGGGTGTCATTTATGCATGCTAATTAAGTGCATATGTTTGTTTCCTTGTGTGTGTTCATGTGCATTATTTGATCTGAGGGAGTGTTGAACCTGAGATAATGATAATGTGTTCTGCAGAAGAAAATAGTTTTGCGTATGTGTTTGTTTGCTTTTCCACTCTGGCTCGTTGCACAGGGATGCCTTTCAGCATCCTCTGCCTGAGAGCAGCTGCAGGACTAATTTCAAACAAACCCTACAATCTCAACTCCCCACTCAGCCATTTATGTTATTAGCAGGTTCAGCTTAGGAGAGAAGAAAAGGAAGAAGAAAAGAGAGAAATTATGTGGGACAGAGGCAAAAGCTAGAGCAGTTTTTGCCATTTCCATACTGGGTTAATAGTGACACACTATGGTATGAGTTTGGATAAGGTCATTTAAAATTTTGGCTTCTGTCCTAGTCTCAAAGCGTACTGGAAATCGTGTTCAGACCTACTCAGGATTCCAGTGGCAAACTGATACTGTACCATGCTCATGGATGGCTCAACATGAGGATACATCACGGTTCTTGGGCAAAAATAAAAGGAAAGAATACCGCTTCTGGGAAAGGGAAAGATATTTTGAGAGAGAGCATGACAAACAGACTGTTACCACTTCTCACCCTACAATGAGAAAAAGAGACAGAAGGTGAGAGACAGTGAAAGCAAGCTAGTGTGAGAGAAGGATGTAGGTGCGAGAGAGAGGAGTGTGAGAGTGAGAGATATGATACATACATAGAGGACAATTCAAAGTAGAGCAGAATGGGAAAAGACAGAAGTAAAGGGAAAAACAGAGGAAGGAGAGGCAGAGAACAGTGAGAGTTTGAAAAAGAAAAAGTAGAGAAGAGAGAGGGAGAGATGAGTGAGGTAGAACTTGCATCAGATCACAGAGGGGGGGAGGCTGCCAGTAATGCTAATGCCAGGAAGCAGCCAGCCAGCAAAACTGTCTCTGCATATACTTAACTCTGTGTGTGTTTGCACATTTGAGTGTGGTGTGCATATGATTGCATGAACTTGAGTACCTAGTTATGTGTGTGTGTATACTTACACTGCACTTTATGTATACACGTGTGTGCTCCTTACAGTGCATTTAGGTGTGTGTGAGTGTGTTTTAATGGATTTTACTGAGATTGTTGTTGTTGCTGCCCAGCTCGTATCTTTCTGTTTGCAGCTTTGTCTTTCTCCCTCTTTCCCCCATATTTTTTCTTTCTCTTCATCTTTATTTACTTCACTCATCCTAAAGAATGAGGAGGAGAGGACAGAGTAAGCTCTGTCCTTTCCTCCTTATTCTTATTCTCCTGATAGAGAGACATAGAAAAGACAGGGAGAAAGGGTGAGGAGGGGGAGGCGGGGCCAGTGGAGGAACAGAGTGGGAGTGGGAGAAAGGCAGAGAGATAACGTGGAGAAGATGCAAGTAGAGAGGCGTAAGGAGCATCTTCTGCCATTTAATAATGATGAAAAGTTGCCAACAGTAGATGGTGTGGCATGGTAAGTTGGTTGTGGTGTGATTTGAGAACCAGTTTCAATATATGGATTGCAGGGCGATGCAGCTGGAATTATGGGTTCTTGAGAATAAAACACAAGTTGTCTTTAGCATTTGGTACAGTCTTGAGATTAAGCAGATAATTCTGCAGAACCTTAAAGGCAGATTGTAAATATATATTTACAACCCATATTATGATGAATATATAGGAGTTTGTCTCATGTCCTGTTATATACATGTGAAGTAATACTACCTTTGGGAAATTATAACTGATATTTGAAATAGTTAAACATTATTGACACCACCTTGGAGAGCTGTTTATTGAACAAATGTGACAAATGTTATATTTTATAGAGCATATATTATTATTTTTACATTTGTTTTTTGTACAATTAAATAAAAGTACTTAAAAGTGCTAATGAAAGTGTATCTCCGTCTATCCTCTCTTTCCAGGCAGTGTCCACACTAACAGACCTATTGAGAGAGAACCTGAGAAATAGTAAAATAAAGCAGTTCTTGCTGCCACCACTCGGGGAGTTCCTCTACCTCATCGCCTCTCAGGTAGGCAAATATGAAGAGACAGATATAAAGAGACACACATACTGCAGTTGACGGATCTAAAGGAAACTTGCATCCAAACACACCCTATACAAGTGAGAAATAGGTGTTTTTATTAGACTGGGTAAAATAGAGGGTGACTGGCTAACGTGAAAGACTGTATTTGGGAAGTCAAACAAAAGATTCAGGGAAATACAGAGATGTGAAAACAAAAAAGAAAACCACTAATTGCTGTGAACATATGAAAATTAGATACATCACTGATCCACCATTTTGTTAGTATGACTTTATGAAAACTACTTTTAAATAAATAGTATAATATACAGTATGTTGACGTATTGACCAAATAATCTAAGAAATGTGAATATTCCTATAGCAATGCTGATGCATTGGGCCGAATCTTTGGGAAGATATTCCTTACTGTTTGACTTCTTGTTATAAGTCTAATTGGGGTATTGACTTTGGCATTTTGCTGTTATCAATTGTAAATCACTTCAGCTGACCACACTAAAAGAAATCAGTGGCTATGTGGGCCTCTCGGACACTGCTGATTTCAACATTTTGATGTAATCAGTATCTTGTAGTGTGTTAGGGTCATTAATTAAATCTCAGATAAGTACTATCAGTATTGCTGAGTCCTACTACCACATACTAGAATTAAAGTGAAATTAACTTTAATGAAACCTCAAACAAATGTAGGCTGTCAAACTGTACAGTTGTTCAACTATAGTTTGCTCTGCAAATACAAACTAGTCCATAACATTGTGTTTACATAGTATGCACCTTAAACTTCTAAGCCATTAGGACATTTTCTTATTACTCAAGTGAAAAAGACCAATCTTGAGTAAAATGAGTGAGACTGAGTGCTCTGTCATTAGGTAATTGAGTTTAAATTTACATGACTGAATTGACTAAATTGAATTGAAAGCAAATTGACCCCCCAGCCCTGAAATTTACAAGAGAATGAGTTTAGGAGGCCTTGTTTGACTTTATTAGAAAAGGTGATCCCAATTTATTTCTAGTTAACCTCACTCTGGCCAGGCAAGTCAATTAAGTGTATGATTTTTATTTACACGACTGATGGATAACCTTCAAAAATCAATCACCCTGCCTGATTGAACTTATTACCCTCTTGAAGCCATGGACAATCTCATCAGTGTCCTGTAGAAGCTCTTAATAAATTGACTTTTCAGCTTCTGCAAGAGCTAGTGTTTTTCCATTGATGCCAGTGTGTTAACTGTTATATTTCAGTGATAATGTGATAATAAACTGATGTCTGTACCTCCATCAGAGATCAGGGTCAGTTGTTGAACAGCAGCTTTAAAAGTATAAATGTTTGTCACTTTTAGGGTGACAACATATACTTGATTTGAGTAATTCCACAAGCCTCACTGAGGTGTAAGGTTCAATAGGCTGAATGCGGATGTTATTGAGGAGTGATGGGGGATTTACCTCAATGTATTTATAACTGCTGAACCATTACATATATTTGTACCTCATTAGTAAAGTCAAAATAACCTAAAGAACATCAACAACTTCTGGCCTCTCCTTTCTCTCCCCGCTACAGAGAAACAACTGCATAGGTTTGTAACAAGACGTCTAAACAACTGCTATGTTTTGCTCTTAGGTCTGTCAAAAAGTCTGTAGTACAATTATAACCTGTACAGGAAGCTGTAACTAAAGCCCAGAAGAGCTCACATTACCTGTGTTGTACGGTCCCTGTGCTGGCTGTTATTCTTAGAATAGTAATAGTAAAAGATGCTTTTACTTGTTGCTATAAAAACAACAGACAGCTTTGTGCTGCTATGAACTATATATAGAACTATATATATATATAATCACTCTAGTGCCTTTTAGGTTTCTTTTTTTTAAATTTAGGATTGGCACTTTAAAATACTCCCCGAAAAGCTCAGTGACAATTTGAGCTGTCAAGATCGTAAAGCGCTTAGAGCAGGTTTTTTGTGTGTTCTTGTGGTAGTGGTTAGTTAGAGGTTAGTAGTGCCTTCTTGTTGTAAGGCCACCTACATTTTGACTTTGGATTGAGGATTGGATTTAAAAAATCTCCAGCTGTTTGCTGGCCCCAATGACAATCATTGATGTCAATGATCAGCCGTTATTGACAATGTTAGATATAATTTACATCCTTGACAAACACCACAGAAATATGTATAACTTTATTGGACTTTGGACCAATAGTTTCAAGGTTGAAATTAAAAGTTATCTGACTATTCCCATATGGTGGACACAGTTGGACATAGTGAAAATGTTTCTTAAACTAGTACATGGCCATCAATTGCAACAAAAAGCTTATTGAAATAGTGCATGGCCACAGTAAACACTATTGGGGATCATACAAATTAAATTACATTACAGCATACAGTTACAACACATGATGTTGCTATGCTGAATACAATAATATTTAAGTTATTTGAACAGCATCAGCAGTCATTACAACATCTTCTAATGAATACTCATCAGGTGGTATCACTTTGCCTGTTCAATGGCAGGAGAAACCATTATTTGAGTAATGTGGAATGGCTCTTTAAGTGTCCCCAGGTAAAATCATCTGCTTTGCTCCTCTCTTCTGCAGCACCAGTCAATGACAACAATTAGCTATAGCCTCCAGTGCTGTCTTTGTCCTCAAGGTTAGATATAGCCTAGAGCCTAGCACAGTAGCAACGCAATGGGGCATTGTTACATGAAAAGATAATAAAAAATATATGTTGAAATAGTCAAAATTTTGTGTAAGACGGGTGTATATAGTGTATTTTCTCAGGAAAAGAAGTACACATATTTATCATGATCAGTTTTGTTAGGTAGTCATTTCAGTCATTCATTAAGCTAAATGCCAGCTTCTGCTTCCAGCTTGTCAAATGTGAGTATTTGCTGCTTTTCCCAGTTTAATTTAATTGTAAATTAAATATCTTTTTGTCACACAAAACTAACCTTCTGATAGGCGTTTTTTAAATATTTACTGACATTTTTAGACTAAAAGATTATTACAAGATCTATATATTACTAGAAAATATTTTTGTTATTTGTTATTATTTAAGTAGTTGGGAGATAAATTAATAATGAAAATCCTCATTATTTGGAGTCCTGTGAATTTTAAATGAATGAATGATTTAAAATGAAAATGAAAGTTTGAAGTAGTTTGATTTTTTCAACCTATGAGAGTGAGATGACTAAGGACACAAACAAGCACACCTAAAGAAAACATCATGTGTAATACTCACACACACTATGTTTCTAAGTAAAATCAATATTTTGAAGAAAGACTAAGTGATCCATTGAATTGAAATAATTATGAAAGCATGTTCTCACACAGACGTGGTAACCAACTAATCAAGATGTCATGGCCCCTTCTGCTCCCTGCTCCCCTCCCCAACTTGGCCTCTTCTTGCCCTTTTCCTTACTCCTCTCTACTTGCATCTTCTCCACGTTATCTCTTTGCCTTTCTCCCACTCCCACTCTGTTCCTCCACTGGCCCCGCCTCCCCCTCCTCACCCTTTCTCCCTGTCTTTTCTATGTCTCTCTATCAGGAGGAGAAGAGAGGCTCCCCAGAGGGATTGTGGTTCGTTCCCGCTGCCGCCTACACTGGCTTAATGAGGAGCCTGCGGGAAGGGGTGAGTGTCTCTGTGTACGTCTGCGTGTGTCTGTTTTTGTGTCTGTGCCTGTGTAGCTGTGACTAAGTCTCTCTCACTGTGTGTGCCTGCGAGTGTGTGTGTACAAGTGTGTGGCAGGGGATCCCTGTGAACAGTAATGATGAGGCAGCTGTGGGCCTAAAGCCTTGTTTGCCAGCTGCAAGTCAAGGGCATGCAGAGCAGTCACACACATGCACGCACGCACACTGTTACCTGCATCAAACACAACCCTTTACTGCTCAGCAGCCTGACCTCAGCAGCAATTAGGACCCTCCAGACATACATGTACAGTAGATGGAGCAGAAACACAAGCAAAAATATAGATAGCTCTTTCCTTTTTTGCTTGCTTTGCTTTTTCTCCTCTCTGTCAACTCTCTTTTTCTATTTAATTATGCTTCCCTTCTTATATTAGGCCTGTCATAAAGTAAAATTATACATTATGACTTTGGTTTGTATTATAGTAACAAATTGACAGCTGTGTCCTAAAATGTTTTAAGAAATATACAGGTATCATCAATGTTAGCATCGTGCTTATGTTGATTAGAGGTTGATCTTATTTTAGTTGGGACCCTGTGTTTCTTAACTTCAGCACTAAGTGCCTGTGTTTCCTAAGATGTGGCTTGCCTGATCTCCTCTGGCAAATTGTTCCAGAGCGATGGGACTGAGAGCAAAGGCCCGGTCGCCCTCGGTTTTCTATCTAGATATTTGAATGTCTAAAAGGGACCCACTGGAGGATCTCAGGCTACACTTTATTAACTGATATACTCTATTCACGTGATAATTGAAATTTCAAAATCAGTTCATTCTAAAACATACAGGTAGCAAATGTAATGAAGCTAAAATCTGAGTTATATTTACTCTACTGTATATGTACTGTTAGGATTAGTGTGGAGTTTGGCAGCTGCATTTTGATTTAACTGAAGTCTGGAAAGGTTGTGTTTATGTAAAGGAAGAGAAGGACATGGACAGATGTTGTTTTGTCTCTCAGAGGTAGAAGAGGTCTTACTGTGGTGGCCCACTATAGCAGAATGAATATAGATGAAACTCTGGTCTGCACAGTTGTCAGCTAGTACCTACTGTTGCTTCATTACCACTGGGAGTGTAGTGGGGGTGTTCATGAACGGTGTGTGTGTGTGTGTGTGTGTGTGTGTGTGTGTGTGACAGGAGCAAGGAGACGGGTTGAGGGGAGGAGAGAGGAGGTTGACTTATTTATCATTATTGAGCTGTGAGAGTAGGCTGACGGAAACACACACACACACACACACACACACACAGCCAGCCTTAGGGACCAGACACTCATCCCCAGACCCAACCTGCCTCTATCTCTTTCCATCTCTTCCTCTCACCCTCCTCCCTTTCTCCACCCTGTCTATGTTTCTACCTCTCCCTGACTGGCTGTTTTTCTTGTGGATGCACAAGTATATTTCCTATTAAATTACACAGCCATCTAAATAGTCTAACTTTGTCTCATGGGCATTACACTCCTGGAGTTAACAAGGTGGTCACACTATACCATAGCTTACTATACGTCGTATAGTTGTACTGTTGAGATATAACTATATAATTTTTAATGCAAAAATGCCATATATTTGTGGGACATTTTAGGAATACATAAAAACTCCATGCCCAATCAGCTCAGGATGCGCTCGAACCAGCATTTATCATAATCGATTCCAGAGAAAAATGACATGGTTTGCAGACAGGTGTGAGACAGTCGAGGACACAATATGCCCCTTCAATAAACTGTGTCACTGTAACTTTTCGTCCTGTTTGCAACCCGTGACTTCAGTGGTATTGTGGCTGACGAGTGCTTGCATGCCTCCCACTAGCTAGCTGTAATAAGTACTGCAGTTCTTAGTTAAAAGCATGCTTATGTAATTTTTGGAAGTTCACTTCTGAAGTTAGTGACCCAAATTTATTTCACATTTCAGTGTCCTGATCAAATGTTTTTAGCCCCAATACTGATGCATATTCTTTTATGTTGGCTATCTGCCTGATCAGCCCCAATACTAATCCCCAGGACCGGCTTGAGACGGCTTTAATTACTTCATTTGTCAAAAGTAAACAATGTAAATTTGTAGAAACTCCTACATTTTGGGATAGTATAGCTGTGACAACTTGCCAATAATTAGATACAAAAAATACAGTTTTAACTGATATATCTGAAGATTTTGAAGGACAATAATAGGATGTCGGACTAGAGATAAGGTGTTACAGCCACTGTTAGTAACTGTAAACTCTGTCAGCAAACCTCTCACTTGTTTGCTGCTATACCATCTTCTTCATCTTCCTCCTCCCTTGTCCTTTTCTTGGATCCTCCAGACCCTGGGCTGACACTGGGTCTTCTTTCTCAGTGTCACTGTCACTGTCAGAATGAGACCATCTCAACAAATAAAATACTAACTTGAATCCACAATATCGTATTGTTTATCCTAATTATTTGCACATTCACATACATTACAATGTTCTCCACCCTACTTGCAATAAAAAAGACAATAATTCTTATCACTAGAAACTTTCACATTGTATATTTGGCACATTAATGTGTTTTTATTGAATATTTATTTATTTATCTGACTGCCCACTAGTTGGCCACCACCTATTTACACTTATAGCTGAATTGGAAACACACTCTTTTTGTGAGTTCAGTCATCAAGGACAACCAAGAGGCTCTGTAAAGCCAGCTAACACAGAAATAGTTATGAGTCTAAGCCCACATTACAGTGTTGTCTTTCCGGCCTATCAGTATTTACATGTGAATTTTGCCACTATCCATTAGCTATACCCGCTTATCCTTTAGGGTCGTGGGGGATTGGGCGAGCGGCGGGGTACACCCTGTACAGAGACAGACAACCGTTCACACTCAAATTCACAATTTAGTGATCTTATTAAGAAAATAAATGGTAGATTAATTTACAGTCCCTCTAAAGTCAGATAAGGGATACATTAGCTGTCCCCACTGGTCAAATCGACTTTCAGGAATACTCTCTGTTCATTGATATTAGACTATTTTTTACACACAGACCCATAAAATTACAAGCACTAGTTAATTTAACTATTGCTTTTCTGTAATTTACTTCAATTTTTAAAAAAGTCATTAGTCTCTTGTGAACAAAAGCTAAATAAGAAACTATTGAGAAAATAGTATTTTTTCATACCACTTATCCACATCTGCGTACATGGCTTTAAAAAAACAACCTTAATTGAACCAGAGAAGTATCATGGAGATCCTGGCCCTCTTTTTCAGATATTCACTGTTCACACTCCCACAGTTACACACATTCATACCTGGAAACTGCCCCAGTCTGATCTGCTGGCCACAGAGCAACTCCACAGTTTGGGATTACGGGCCTTGCTCACGTGCACCTCAGGCGTTGGTGGGGTCAACGCTCCTTTTTCAATTTCCCTGCCCAGATTTATCCTGGGCAAATAAATTGTACTCGTAGATGGCGGTGAATGTTTTGCACCTGACCCATGTCAGCTTTTTCAGAGCAACAACATTTTTCAACATCTAATAAAATGTTAGTGAAAAAACCTGGAGTGATGCAATGCGTTATCTGCTTGAGATCATAGTGCACAATATCTTATGATATTTAGTAACTTCTGAGACTGGAGTAGAATAAGTTCACTGTGAAACATCAGGGTCGTGAGCAGTCGACAATATATGTGTGTTTTAACTGCTTCATTTCTTTGCATGTGAACTTTTTCATAGGAAAACAACAAATAAACACAAACTAATTTACAATATGTATGTTTACTGATATGAGATTTACTGTAGGTTTGGAAGCCATTTTTATTATGCTTCTCTTTCTTATACTTCCCAATATGACTGCTGCTTGTTAGATCTTTTTCCCAGCTGTCATTTTGACTTGTCCAACACAGGTCTACAGCAATAATAACAGTAATAATAGTGCTCCCGTGTTAGTTTAGCAACAAAGAAAAGTTATCGAAATCAGCCAGAGGTTTTCACAGAGGTTGAGTTGCTAGCTAAAGGTGCATCTCAGAAAATTACAATATCATGAAATTTTTCTTCTGTAATTTAAGTCAAAAAGTTAAACTTTCATATATTCTAGATTCATTACACCTTTTTTAAATTTTAATCTTAATGATTACGGCTTAAAGCTCATGGAAATCAAACATCCATATCTCAAAATATTAGAATAAAGAATGTATAATACAGAAATGTTGACCTCAAAAGAGCCTTTAATCTCTTAGTCTGCTTCAGTACACACAACCACAATCATCTTCAGACTTGACAGTTGTTCAGAAGACACTCAGTGACAGCCTCCACAATAAGGGTAAGCCACAGAAGGTCTTTGCTGAAAGGGCTGGCTGTTCACAGAGTGCTGGATCAAAACATATTCATGGAAAGTTGACTGGAAAGTTTAAGTGTGGTGTGAAAAGGTGCACAAACAGGGATGACCGCAGCCTTGAGAGGATTGTCAAGCAAAGCCAAGTCAAGAACTTGGGGAGCTTCACAGACGTGTCCTGGAAATGAGATACAAGTGTCGCATTGCTAGTGTCAAGCCACTCCTGAACCAGAGACAATGTCAGAAGTGTCTTACCTGAACTAAGGGAAAAAAGAACTGGAGCTTTGCTCAGTGGTCCAAAGTCCTCGTTTCAGATGAAAGTAAATTTTGCATTTCATTTGGAAATCAAGGTCCCAGAGTCTGGAGGACAAAATCAAAATCCAAGTGTGAAGTTTCCACAGTCAGTGATGATTTGGGGTGCCATGCCTCTGCTGGTGTTGGTCCAGTCAGGAGATTTTTGAGAGCATTTCATGTTTCACATCATCTGCTGACAAGCTTTATGGAGAGGCTGATTTCCTTTTCCAGCAGGACTTGGAACTTGCCCACAGTGCCAAAACCACTAGTAACTGGTTTGCTGACCATAGTATTACAGTACGTGACTGGCCAGCCAGCTCGCCTGACCTGAACCCCACAGAGAATCTATGAGGGATTGTCGAGATGAAAAGGAGAGAC